TCCCTCCTCTCCCACCACCTTCCTTCTTTCTGTCTCCTGTCCTTTCCTCGTTTCTTGTTTTGGTCAGTGGGCAAGCCTTGCAGCCCGAGCTGGAGCTTGAAGTAGAAACGCAAACAGTGGTAAGCTTCGTGGATGAACCTACTTGATCATCATGATCTCTATCATCATCACCACCACCCTGACCGCCGTCGTCGTCGTCGTCATCATCATCATCTTCTTCGTCTTCGTCTTCGTCTTCGTCATCATCATAAACTTCTTCTTTTTCTTGTTCTTCTTCGTCGTCGTCTTCGTCGTCTTCGTCGTCATCTTCTCACTTTTCTTTCCGCAGAGATCGCGAGGGTCGAGATGGGGGCCGGACGAGGACGATCCATACGTTGGAGTCTATCGATGATGAAGCTAGAGAGGCTCAAAAGGGGAAAGTTGTGAATGATAACAAGAAACCAACAGGTCAAGTCACAAAGGTCAATGTCCGATCTCATATATCAAGTGTTAGTTTTCTCCTTGACGGTGCATACTCTTTGTGCCGCCGTGACTCAGTACGGTCAGTGTCCCAGTCCGGTTGCCAGCCAAGACCGGGCGAGTCAACGCTGTTGACTGCCATGCTCGGAAGCACTGTAGCCTCCCCCCGGGGCCGCCCGATACATAGTCACGCCCGGAGATGGCGGCAAATTTCCGCATGGGGTGGCCGTCCGGTCCCCATCTGGCTGGGACAGAGTCGGAGAGTCAGCCAACCGTACGGTGATCCGATGTGGCATCCGATCGGACGCCGGGCGGCCGGGCGCGGGGGCGGGCCCCGCGCTGCCACTGACCGATTGATGAGTCCGTCACACTGAGTGATCGGACGGCAGCCCGGGTCCCCACGTCCGGTCCGACTCATAACTCGGCCCATTCAGCCGCACGGCGACTCAAAAGGCCTTAGTTGAGCGCGGGCCGGGCCTCCTCGCGCCGTGACGGTCGGACTCTCCTCCGACTCACACTTGGCTGTCGGCGGCGCCGGCCGTGATGCACTTACGGTCACTGTGGCACACGTCACACTCGGACACCAGATTCCGTCCGCCGGCCGATCCTCAGGGCCCGGCCTCGTA